AAGTCAGGGGAACAAATAGGGTGAACCTGAACTATTAATACATGAAGGTAGATATGATAATAGTTGGAATAACAGAAACTTGGTGGAATGTAACCCATGATTGGAACATACTGATAGAAGGATACAAATTGTTCAAGAAACCCAGACCCCATAAAAGAGAAGGTGGAGTTGCACTGTATGTAAAGAACCATTATATTGCTACAGAAATGAATGAAACCAAAGACAAAAACTACCTAGAATGCATACAGGTCAATAGAAAAGAAAAAAAGAATGACATGGCCAAAGATGTATACTATAGGCCACCAATCAAGCAGAAAAAATAGACGTCCTTTTTGCTAACCAACTAACAAATATATGTAAAAAAGACACTACAGTATAATAGTAATGGGGGACTTCAGTTACCCTGGCATCAATTGGAAGGCTAATTCTGCACCAAGTGACAAATCAAATAATTTCTTAATTATTAGCTGATAACTTTGTTGTCCAAAAGGTAGAGGAGGAAAGTAGATGGACAACCATACTGAACTTAATTCTTAAAACAGAGAAGAAGGGATAAAGGGAGTTGAAACTTTAGGAATCTTGGGTGAGAGTCACCATCTCATGTTAGAATTCAACATAATGCAAATAATGATATCAGCGTCTTAGATTTTAAAAGAGCTGATTTTAATAAACTCAGAGAGAACTTGGAAAAGATTCCTTGGATGAAAATCCTTAACGGGAAAACAACTCAAGAAGCTTGGGAAACTCTGAAAAATATGATCATAAAAGCTGAGACCAGCACAATACCACTGAGAAAAAAAAACAAGAAATCCAAGAAGAAACTAGCATGGCTGCACAAAGATCTCTCTGACAAATTGAAAGACAAAAAGGACAAGTACCAAAAATGGAAAGAGGAACACAGAACTAAGGCAGAATATCAGCAGATAGCCAGAATCTGCAAAGACAGTCAGGAAAGCAAAGACTCAGAATGAACAAAGACTTGCAACAAAAGTTAAAGATAATAAAGTTTCTTCCAACATAGAAATAACAAGAAAAAAATCAAGGAAACAGTCGGTTCACTAAAGAGAAAAGACTGTAAGGAAGTAACAGGCAACAGAAAGAAAGCAGAGCTGCTTAACTCATTCTTTCCATTGGTCTTCACGCAAAAAGAAACTGTAGCCCAACCTGCCAAAAATATAACTGTAAAAGACAGACTAGAAATAAAAATTAAAATAAGCAAAAAAAAAAGAAGTAAAAGAACACCTGTCTGATCTTGATGAACGCAAATCACCGGGGCCTGATGGATTACACCCCAAAGTTCTAAAGGAGTGGCAAATGTCATCACAGAATCACTGTACCACATCTTTCAAAAATCCTGGAGCACTGGGGAACTACCAGAGGACTGGAAAAGCGCTGATGTGGTTCCTATCTTCAAAAAAGGAGAAAAAAACCAGACCCCAGGAAACTACAGACCAAGTAGCCTAACATCAATACCCGAGAAGATATTGGAAAAGATAATTTAAAAGGATCTGCCAACATCTAGAAATGAGTAAAGTAATAAATAGAATCATCATGGGTTTGTTAAGAACAGATTATGCCAAACCCATCTTATTTCATTCTTCATAATGACTAAATTAGTAGACCAGCAAAATACTGTGGACATAATATACTTAGACTTCAGCAAGGTATTCGACAAAGTGGACCACAGCCTACTTTTTGGTAAGCTAGAAAAAAGTGGGATAGATAACACCACCACTAGATGGACTCACAACTGGCTGACAAACCATACACAACGAGTAGTCCTTAATGGGTCTACTTCTACATGGAGGGAAGTAAGCAGTGGGGGACCACAAGGTTCTGTCTTAGGCCCAGTATTCTTTAATATCTTCATAAATGACTAATATGGGGGAATAGAAGGGGAACATACAAAATTTACAGATGATACTAAGCTTGCAGGAACTAACACCCAAGAAATTAGGCACAAGATCCAGATGGATCTTGACAGACTTCAACACTGAGTCCTATCTAACAAAATGAAATTCAACATAGAGAAAAGTAGTCTTACACTTACACTTAGGCAAGAAAAACCAAAAGTACACATATAGAGTGGGTGAAACCAGGCTTAATAGCAGTAACTGAGAGAGGAATCTTGGAGTCTTAGTGGACAACCAGCAATCAGCAATGTGTGTTGGCAGCCAAAAAAGCTAATGCAATCCTAAATTGCATTAACAGATACAATCAAGATCAAGATACTAATACCACTCTATAAAGCCTTAGTGAGACCACATCTAGAATAGTGCATCCAGTTTTGATCACCACATAAAAAAAGATGTTGAGACTCTAGAAAAAGTGCAGAGAAGAGCAACCAGGATGATTAGGGGACTGGTGACTATAATATATGAAGAACAGTTACAGGAACTGGGCATGGTTAGTCTAGTGAATAGAAGGACCAGGGGAGACATGATAGCAGTGTTCCAATATTTGAGGGGCTGCCACAAAGAGGAAGGGGTCAAGCTATTTTTCAAGGCACCCAAAGGCCAGACAAGGAATAATGGATGGAAACTGACCAAGGAGAGATTCTAGAAATAAGGAGAAATTTTCTGATATCAACCAATGGAACAGCTTGCCTTCAGAAGTTATGGGAGCTTCATCACTGGAGGCTTTCAAGAACAGATTAGACTGCTATTTGTCAGAAATGGTGTAGGGTCTCCTGCTTGGATGGGGGTGATGGTTGGATTAGATGACTTGTAATGTCCCTTCCAACTCTGTTAATCTAATCTAAAAATTATCAATAGCACTTACTTTAGGCATACATCTAGACCTATATATGCCTATTCTATCAGGAAGACTTTCTCATTCAAGTCATGGAAAATGCCTTTCCATATCCACATTGTTTTTCTTTTGTCATATATAACTTTGTAATACATATTTTACAAAAATGGAAATCTGCCATTTTTCTCATGTTCCAGGCTCAGAACAGCAATTTGTAGCAATGCCAATGAGGCCTTTTCTAGGTTTTCCTTTTTGTTGTGAACAGGTCTCTGGGTAGGCCCAAACACATTCAAACACCATCATCATGACAACATCATTCTCCATCTGTAAAACTGATGGAGTTGGGGTATATAAAACTGAATAATTGGGATCGGATTTAAAAGTTGTACAAATATACGAAATATGAAAAATGAGAAGGTACACAAATAGGACACTTTACAAAGTAAAACAAAATAAGCAGTAGCATTTGCAAAAAGAATCCTACAATATACTTGAAATATGATTATCAGATCTGTGCCTTAAGCAAAACATACACATTTTTAATTATCAACAACATGTACAGACATTTCTTTCTTAAAAATCATGTCAAATAATCCAAAATCCATATTAAGGAGGCTTGACCACAGGGGATACCACAGATTACATAGTGAAGATATATATTCACAGATATATAATTCACCTTATTTAAAGACATATTAAAATCCATCCACTTATAAGTTAGCTGAGAATGGAAAGTAAGCACATACTTATTTTTAAAAAATACTAAAGGAAAAAAACTTATTTTTTACATTTAAAAGGAGTAAGTCTTGAATTGCTTATAATTACAATACCTGGTTTTTCAGTTTAGGCTCCTTTGGAAATATACAAATAATAATAAAACAGAAATCAATTCATAAATAGACTGTTTACATTCATAAAAAGCAGCCCATTCACGGACCTAAATACATCAAAGATAGCCTGAGTCCCTAAACCATACTTTGATTCTGCATTAAAAGGACCCCCAAGTCAACTGTCTAAAAACATACTACTTGGCAATCGTATTTATTTAACACTCTCACTTCTTCCCCCCAACTCTCACTTCTCCCCCCCCCTTCTTTAAAAGGGACCTCGGGGAAATTTAGTAGCAAAAGTTAATTATGATAGGAAGCCACCAGCTAGGCTCAACTTTCTGACACATGACTGTTGTTCACTTTAGTTCTCTACCCTTCTAGGCTGGCCTTCTCTCTTTACCACAGCTCCAGGAAAACAGAAGTAAGTGCTTGGCATCTTCCTTTCCAAAGTCCAATACTGCAGAACTATGAATTCAAATACATAAAGACAGCAGTAGAACATTGTAGTCAGGTAGGTAAGGAAAGTGTAATAGAAAATTTCTTCTAAAACCAAACTAATAGCTATCAATAGAAGAGGTTTATTGGAAAGTGGCAGTCTTCTATTTATCATTAATGTTTAATAAAATTGAAGAAGTTGCCAGAGCACACTAAAGCAGAAGAAAAGGCATACCATTGCTTTACCCAATCAAGAATAACATTCTATGTATGATTCAATGAACCTAGCCAACAAATCAGAACGTTTAAGACTAAAGACACTTTCCTAATGACCCTTGGAATTGTAAAGGTGAAGCCTGGCTTCCACCATTTCTATCTTTGCAAATGTGATTTGATGAAAGTCTTCTTGGGGGTGGTGGGAGGGGAAGCTGGATTTCATCTATTTCTCAATATGAGAACAATGTTTAAATTAAAATTAGAATTCTTTTATTGGGCAAATGTGATTGGACACACAAGGAATTTGTCTTGGTGCAAATGCTCTCAGTGTACACAAAAGAAAAGATACATTCATCAAAAGTCAAGAATCATCAGGTACAACACTTAATAATAGTCATAGGGTACAATAAACAATCAAATCATACTAGGAAACAGTCCATATAAATCATAAAGATACAAGTGACAAAATTACAGTCATACAGTCACAAGTGGGAGGGGATAGGTGATAAGGAGTGATGAGAAGATTAATAGTAATAATAGTGCAGACTTTGTAAATAGTTCGACAGTATTGATTGAATTATTTGTTTAGCAGAGTGATGGCATTCGGGGGAAAACTGTTCTTATGTCTACTTGTTCTGATGTGCAGTGCTCTATAACGTCGTTTTGAGGGTAGGAGTTGAAACAGTTTATGTCCAGGATGTGAGAGGTCTGTAAATATTTTCACAGTCCTCTTTTTGACTTGTGTGGTACACAGGTCCCCAATGGAAGGCAGGTTGGTAGTAATTGTTTTTTCTGCAGTCCTAATTATCCTCTGAAGTCTGTGTCTGTCCTGTTGGGCTGCAGAACCAAACTAGACAGTTATAGAGGTGCAGATGATAAATGCTTTAGGGAGACTGATGCCAAATGAAAAGTAGGGATATGTCACACTTTTCTATTACTCTCTCCTTTCACATTGGTCCTAACATGTCAAAGCTTACTAAGTAGCAACAATGTCCAATTTACTTCCTTTTGGCTTTAACATGCAATCAAATAAACTGCAGAATAAATCACTGACCTCCGAGCACCATTTCCTGATAATGCCTCTGAAGCCATAGGGGCCTCTAAAAAGAAATGCTGAATATCAAGAGGTGGTATTCAGCAGGTTCTGACCAGTCCTGGAGCAGAAATTTTGAGTAGCTCAGAGAACTGGCAAATACCATCTCTGACTGGAGATTTTACAGTATTCTTCCCCTGCCACGCCCACCAAGCCACGCCCACAGAACCAGTAGTAAAAAAATTTGAATCCCACCACTGCTTGAGTATGATCAAGTAGCAGAGTCAGAGGACTTCAAAAATATGTTTGAAGGAATCTATGGACGCATTCTTAAAGAGTAAAACTACTTTTCTTTCCATTGAACCACCCAACTGTCATTTTGGAAAATGATATATTTCAAAGTTTTCTGCATCAGCATAATAAATGATATCAAATGTGCTATTATGTTATCGTGCTGTCACAACCCAGAATCCTAGAGCCACATTAGCAGCCAAGAGTGCACTGCCAGCAAGTAAAATTAAGAAGCCTAAAAGCTCCCTGTTTTGCTTTTCAACAATAAATTTGCTAGCCGTAGCTTCTAAGAAAGAATTCAATATCCATTGGCCATCCAAAGCAAAACAGGGAATTGCATTAACAACAGCCAATGCTCCAGAGAGTGAAATCAGATATCTGTTTAAGCTTGTTAAGGTGCATGATATAGTCATTTTTTAAAAACACATAAATTTTATAGTTTCAGCACTTTGGGAACATAGCAATTAATTGAACTAATACTATTTTTATTTGCTCTTTATAATTCTTTATTGATAGCAAAAACCAAAATAAGTAAGATCCTAGTTGTAAAATGTATTTTTATACAAGATAAGGGAAGAGACTTTACATAAGAAAAAAAAACATATTGAGAAAGGATGTAAAGGCTAGACCACATTATATATTCCCCTACAGGTGGACATAAAAAACTAATTTGCCTTTACACCAGAGCTGTTGGCAGTATACATATTTAATAAATAAATAATTTTTTAAAAACCCTGCATATTCCAATGTTTAAAAAAATATTCCAACTTGGAAATGGGTAATCTAAAACACTATAGTCATTTTTATAATTCTCAGTAATAGCTACATGCTATTGCAACATATTAGAATATACAGTATATTATTCACATTATCATACAAATGATGAAACATATTGCTAAACAGTCACTAAATGAGGCAGTCATTAAACAAGGACTACCTGTCCTTGTAGTGACATGTTCCTATAGGTTTAAGAAATGAAAATTCTAATATTATAGAAGCCAAACAGAATGGGGCAAGGCGTCCTTTATGAGTGCCAACTTGTCCTGATACTTGGTGCAGGAATTGTGCAGACTAATTACCCGGGTTATAATCTACATGGTTTCTATGTCCTTTCCAGATTTTCACTGAAAGAAATATATCTTGTTTTAAATGACTGAAGTGAAGATTATGCTTCCATAGCTATATTGACTATCCCACTACCAATGGAATCCCTGATTCAATGGACTCAAGCAGTCCTGGGACACTTTATAAGAAACCCCAAAGGGCTTGGTATGTGGAGATCTCAACACTCAACTTGGCAAATGTAGCTCATTTCCATATCTTTATCCAGAATGGATCTTTTCTAGTCATGATACGAGCCACATACGTAAATGTTTCTTGTCATAAAAGGAAGTCAGCAAATTGTTTTTTCCAACAGAAAAAATTGCTTTGCCCACTTCCCATGGACAAGGCCATCAAGAGTTGGTGTGGAGTTAGCAGTCTTATATATTTAATAAATAAACACATTCATTTATTCAGGCTTTTTAAAGAGTTAATGCTAACATTTTAATTTGTAACTATTTGTTTATGCTTTTACTGACGTTTTTACTGTAATTTTGTAAGCCATTAAGAAAACAGACTGTGTAATTTTAAATATATACATAAAAGATGTGCATAAAATGTTAGATATATTTTTACTTTTATCATTTCCTGTAATTGGATTGTTTAAATCAAAATCTTACACCATAGCCAGTAGCTTCCACCCCCTTAAATAGGCCAAATATGCAAAATAAGTTAGAAGAGGCTGTTCAAAAGGTAAAAATCAAATGGCTGTAGTATTTTATATGCATGATACTCCCAGAGTCTTTTCTCAAAAAGTCCACACAAATATGAAAGGATACTTGCAAAATGTTTCCATTATTAAAGGAAGGTCCAAAGTTAGAAAACTGTATCGAGGTACAAAGCTGCTGAGGCTCACTTAAACAAAGAAAGAATTTTCTGTTACAAAATCAAGGAGCATTTCAAAACAAATCATGTCTAAATCTCTGTTCACAACAAATACAACATTTTGTTTCATTCCCCATGATGTATGGTAACATCACTTCTATTATAATTATGTTATATTCATAGTTGGTCTATATTTTGTGAAAACAGCAAGTCTAACATATAATACAGCTACTGTTGTTTTACAATCAAGTGCCTATAGAGGGAAAATAGATATGCAGCTGATCTTTGTATCTGAACATCACATATTGTTGTGGTTAGCCGGCAGCAGGTGCAGATGGCTGAGGAGAGCAAGGACTCAGATGAGGGGCCAGGACCATTTGGGAGTGGTCTGCTGCCTTCAGAGATTGTGGGGGCTGGCAGCAGCAATGAAGAGGTTCCTGAGGAGCCTGTGCCAAGTGCGTGTGTGCGCAGGGTTGCTCGTAGGAAAGAGCAGCTGCAACAGCACGGGCGACTTGGGAGTAAGGCTGCAAGGTAATGGCCCCTCCTTCAAGAAGATAAAAGGCAGCTGTAAAGCGAACGTTCTTTGCAGGAAGCAAGGATGTTTTGAAACTCAGCCTCATGGACATTACAGTATTTTAAGTTGGTATTTAAAGACTCGGGTTGTGAAATATTTCTTATCTGTGATTCTTGGCAGTCTCGTACAGTTTTGGCAAGGTTTGTGCTTATCAAAGTTAATTAGTTTGCAGCAGCCTTTTAACCGGGGATTCGTAAGACTCATTAAAAGGTTTCTGTTCCCTTTAGTAATTATTTGTCTTATTGGAAAAGGGTTTGGGTCAGAACACATATGTATTTTAGTAGAAGAAAGGCAAAGACAAAAACAGGAAATACCTATTGCATTCATGTCCCTAAGCATGTGGTGCTTATGTAAAGTACAGGAAGTCTTCGACTTACAACAGTTCATTCTGTAACCATTCAAAGTTACAACAGCACTTAAAAAAGTAACTTATGACCATTTTTCACACTTACAACCATTACAGGATCCCCAGGGTCATGTGATTTACATTCAGATGCTTGATAACTGGTTCATAGTTATGACAATTGCAGTGTCCTGGGGTCATATGATCACCTTTAGTGTCCTTCTGATAAGCAAAGTCAATGGAAAAGCCAGATTCACTTAATAATGGGGTTACTAATTTAACAACTGCAGTGATTCACTTAACAAATGTGACAAGAAAAGTCATAAAATGGGGCAAGCTCACTTAACAAATTTCTCATTTAGTAACATAAATTTTGGGCTCAACTATGGTCGAAGGTAGAGGGCTACCTGTAGTGAACAAATACAGGTAGTCCTTGAGTTATGACTGTATTGGAGCCTTCCTGTCATGATTGTACGTCATGATGGTCATAAAATGGGTTATCGCTTAACTGGACCCATTGTATGATCTTTTTTGCAGCAGTCGTTAAGTGAACTTAATGGTCATTAAGCAAAGCAATATTACACTTAAAGGGCATTTTTGCCAAAAACCAGAAGTAAATGTCAGGTTTGGCAAAAATGTCGTAAAACACAATCACATCACTGCAGGACACTTATAGCCATAAATGCAGGCTAGTTACTAAGCACTAGAAATGCAGTCATGTAATGGGGGCATGGGAGCTGGCCACCGGAACCAGATTGTAAGTACCCCACTGAGGTGCATCATAATTTCAGGTAGTTGCTAAGCAACCAGATGTAAGTCAAGGATTATCTATAAAAGGAGTCTATTTTATTTATGGCCAAATATTGAAAAGTATTATCTATGTTGAGATTTGTTTTTAATGTCAGTGGTTTAAAGCTGAAAATATAAACTTTATGAAGTTCAAGAAACTATATACATGCAGATTAAGAAACTGTACAGCACAAGTTTATATTGCACAAATAATTTCATAACAAAATTAGGGCTCAATATCTTAAGACAAACTTTTATCAAAATACTGAAATAACAGCAGAAACTATGCAAAAACATTTGTTAGAACACCCTGTAGCAATATTTTCATATTCCTGAGTCAATTTTTCAAAATTTTCCTGCTATTAAGAACCAATGATCAACATACATGTACACATGTATAAAATAGATTGTTTTTCATAGTTTATGAAATGTATGCCTGCAGAATAAACTTCACATTAAGCAGGTAAGCTTTTTTGTAACTTAAGTACATTTATTTATTTTGCAAACATGACCAAATACATATACATATAATCTAAATAAAAATATATAAATTTGATTACTGTGGAAATAGGGTAATATCATTAACACAATAAAAAAATTATATCTGATAAACCTTAACATTGAAATAAATAAATAAATAAATAAATAAATGCAGAAGAAAAAATCAACCAACTGTAATCTGTATATTATGTATTTACCTGCTTCACTTCTGTTAGCATTCTCATCAAATCATACATACCTGTATATTGGAGATGCGCTGGATGACCAATGAACAGCATATCAATTTGAGGAGGATGCTTCACCCTTATGAGCCTGGTGTGATTTTCCAAGGAAGGCATCACACATGTACTTGGGATAAAATCCTTTGGGCAATCTTTGTTTGTTTGACAGAGCTGACTGGCCTCAATAGTTTTCCTTGCTGGCAAACAAGCATATAGGGTCTGGAATTTAAATAAGTATTAAATGTATGCTATTGAGAAACATTCATTTGACAAGCTAGATGAAAAAAAAAGAAAAGAAAACTATGTTTTAGTTAGTTTACATATTCATTATCACTTGCTCAGAATGAAACTTTTATGAACTCTACAAAATTGAAAATTCCACCATTTCCAGGCAGTATCTCAAAAGTATTATGGCTGCAAATGCAACAATATGCTATAAACATAAAGTTCCATGTGGCATATATGATTACCTGAGGGGACATTACGGAGATATGAGAATCCAACTACAAGAGAGTTGGGAAATGTGTTTAGAATAACTGGCCCAGGAGACTTACAACTCTTTTTGGTACTGGAGTGGACAGGTAAAAAATGTTGGGCTCTTTGGTTTGCTGAGCTTGGCTATTTTCTTTCAGGCATTTCCTTACCAGGCAACATAATCAAATGAATGAGAGAGTAGAATTAGCTGGCTATTAATCTTCCTTCCTTTACAGTTTATTATGGTATTGTTTCTTCTTGGACTGTTTGCATGGTATTGTATACTTTTTACTACGATATTGATTATTAACAAGGATGTGTTCTAAGTTGCTGCTTCTTCTTTGACTAGGTTATATCCTTTACATGGTATAGATTGACTTTATGGCTCAGTTGATGGCTGATACGTCTGAATACTAGGAATTCCCCAGCATTTTTGGATTTACAGTATCAAGTTTCCCAGTTGAAACTGTGGTTGAATTTGTCTGTGTGCTGAGGCATTTATTATTTTCATCATGTCTTTTGTTTACAACATGTTTTTGGGTGCATTCTGCCAATCTTCTACTTGTCTGTGCAGCATAGGCCTTACATCATACATTATGTTTAATGCCTGGGTCTTTAGGTTTGTTTAAGATGATTTTGTTTGGATTATAGTGATACTGAGAAGTTATAGTTGCCTTTTGGTTGCCAAAGATATATATATATATATAGGGATTTTTTAAATAGGTTGTTACAGTTGTTATGTAGATTATATAGTCCAGCACTTTTTAATGAAGTTGTGAAGGTGTCTGTTGTGTTAAAAGATATTGTACGTATAATATGTTTCTTGTTTTTGAGGTGTCAGATACTGCAATGCATTTGCTCATCTTCTTCTGAGGACAATGTTGCTGGTGGACACTATGGATTGCTTTTCAATAATCTGGATTTCTGTTCTTTAATTGCTTCATCTATTGAGGAGAATAGTAATTATTCTGGTGTAAATTTTATTCCTTTACAGATGTTATTGTTTCATTTGTCTTCTATAACTGTTCCTTTTTAATTATAATAAATATGTCATCTACAGAATGGATCTATATTTGGGTTCTCCATGTAAGAGTGCTATTGCTTCTAAACATCACAGACTCATGAATCCTGAGAGGGAAGATCTCATGGGTGTTACTTCTGATTTTTCTGTATATACCAGGAGTTGAACTGGAAGAGATGAAGCAAAGGATTAAGTTCCATGAGCCTGGGTATTTCAATTACTCTGTTCTCTGTAGAGTTTGGTATGTTCTATAGTGGTGTTATAATAGATTCCTATCTATTGTTGTGAAGAGTGCTGAACATCAAATGAAACCATAATTTCCTCTTTTTAATAGTTAGGTCCTGGAGGCACTGAAATGGAGAACTGATATTCATTATCATTATTAGGTGTCCAACTTTTTTGTGAGTTCTTTGGTAAATTGTGTGTTGGATTCCTTGGTAGTTATAGTGAATCCTGCAGTATGCAGGAAGGTGGACTTGATGAACTCACTTCCAACTGCATAATTCTATCTTTGGTCACCTAGTTGTAAACATATATTTTAAACAATACTATGCTGTGCAAATCTGGGTTGGTGTGCTTTCAGATATTTGAAGATAGCTATGAAGTTGCTTTTGATAAGATGGGTGACTACATAAATCAGATGCTATTAGAAACCTCTCTTGACTTTTATTATCTGCAACTTTGGCAAGCATTCCTTTGACTCCCTCCTCTATATAATTGATAAATATGTTGATGTAACAGCCCACTTGAGATGTTTCTCCAGGTACATTTGACAGTATTTATAACTACACTTTGAGTATGATCCTTGAGGCAACTGTGAAATTGTTAAACTTAGACTTGATCATTTTCTTTATAAGGATGCCATGAGAGGTTTTGCCAAAAGCTTTGCTAAAGTAAAGATATACAATATCCACATTTCCCCAATCAACTAGGCTAACAATATATATTAGTTACAAGGTAGTTATTATGTGTAGGTAATCTGCAGTTACCACCACTTTAAATGGAATGGAATAGAATGGAATACCTTAATGGCCAAGTGTAATTACACACACAAGGAATTTGTCTCTGGTGCAGAAGCTTTCAGTGTACATGCAAAACAAAAGATTAATCAGAATAATAAATATAATAATGATACCAATAAGGTAGAAAAAAAGATGAGAAGGATAATAATAATAATGCAGCCATGGCACAAGGGTAAATATATTTAGACATAAGACAGTACTCTGGGAATTAGGTGTTCAGCAGAATGATTGCAAGAGGGAAAAAACTGTCTGTGCCTAGAGACAGACATGGTGGCACAGTGGTTAGAGTGCAGTACTGCAGGCTACTTCTGCTGACTGCCAGCTGACGGCAATTTGGCAGTTCAAATCTCACCAGGCTCAGGTTGACTCAGCCTTCCATCCTTCCAAGGTGGGTAAAATGAGGACCCAGTTTGTTGGGAGCAATATGCTGACTCTGTAAACTGCTTAGAGAGGGCTGTAAAAGCACTATAAAGCGGAATATAAGTCTAAATGCTAGTGCTAGTTGTTTTGGCATGAAAGCGATGTAGCAGCATCCCGAGGGAATGATTGAAAAAGTTTGTGACCAGGATGTGACAGATCGTTAGATATTTTCTTAGCCCTCTTTCTGACCTGTACAGTACCCAGGTCCTAAATGGAAGGCAGACTGGTTGCATATATCCAACTAAAATGATTCACTTAACAACTGTAGTAAGAAAGGTCATAAAATGATGCAAAATTCACTTAACAAATGTTTCACTTAGCAACAGAAATTTTGGGCTCAATTGTGGTTGTAAGTTGAGGACTACCTGTAAATAGATACCAACTTGGTGAGAAAGTAGCAATGCTCTGTGACTTCATGCTGACCACAGAAATGTCTTCTGACAGCACTGGCTCAATGGCCTTGAAATGGAGATGAGCCCTGTCCCCTAGCAATGACTAGAGAAGTAAAATCCACAGGGACTCCTTTTTACCTAGCAAAAAAACATCTATAAGAAAACAACCAAGCTCAGCACACAACTAGAACCTTCAATTCTGAAGAATATATGTTCTCTAATATTGGAAGTAAAAAGGGCATTTGAAAAAAATATTAACAAAACATTTCAGCACAATAATGTGGTTATTTGCATTAAGACTAAGCAGTTTAGTCTTGCTCTATATCCGTTATCAAACCTTATTTATTGCAACATCCTGTTATTTCTGTCAAACCTAATATTTTAAAAAAGTTAGCAAGAGGAATCAGGTGCGAGACAGTATTTTTAAATAAAAATATGCGCATTCCTTTTTCATATAATTCATTTTACTGAATTTTGTAGTTTGTATGCTATTGAAAAAATGTTCTTTTCTATTTAAATAAAAACTTACCATTCGGCTGTTCAGATTATTACTGTATGAAAAGCAGATATCTGTGAGGCTATTGTTGTTACAACATTCAACAGTGCCATCAAGTCTTTTAAAACCTAAGGACAAAGGCAAAGGCAACATTATATTTTCAGATATAGATCCACTGGTCTATAATGTACTGTATTTTTTGGAATATAAGATGCATCCCCCCCCCAAAAAAATGGATAGAAATGTCTGTGTGTTTTATACAGCAGATGTTGCCAAAGCCCCTCCCACCCACCAACCCCCACCCGTCGCCCTCTGCCTCCCAGCAATTTGCCTCCTTGCATCAAACAGCAAACAACCTGGTCAGCTTCAGCACAGCCTGATTAATACAAGCAGCTGATTGTCAGTAGGATCGGCCTCCTAATGATCAGCTGTTTCAGGCTGCATGGATTGCCATTGCCTATTGCTGACTTGCACACCCCATTTTTGGCCTCCACATGCCCCATTTTCCATCGCCCAGAACGGGCCAAAAATGGGGCATGCAGAGGCCGAAAATGGGGCATGCGGAGGCTGAAAAATGGGATGTGAGGGCCAAAAATGGGGTGCACAGAGGCAGCAATAGGCGATAGCAATCCCTGCAGCCTGAAACAGCTGATCATCAGGAGGCCAATCCAACCGACAATCAGCTGCTTGTTCTAATCAGGCTGTGCTGAAGCTGACCAGGCTGTTTGCTGCAAGGAGGCAAATTGCTGGCAGGCAGAAGCAGAGGCAGAGGCAGATTTTTTCCCCCTTGTTGTCCTCTTTCCTTTTTCCTTGTATAAGCTAGGTGTGTCTTATACTTTGGAGTGTCTTATACTCTGAAAAATATGATAATAAGAGCTCAACATCACCACTTCCTGAAGGGTTTGTATCTATGTGTATGAGTGGGTTTGTGTGTGCGTATATAGCAGTGACAGTCAGAAATAGCTATAAGTAGCCATCAGTATCCATTTCCAATGACTATTTCCCATTCATCTTTATAAAAAATACTTTGATATAAAATAATAATGTGTAGGATAATACTAACATCTATTGTGGGGGTGGACTACTGAGGAAGTTGCAAGAGACTCATTTACAACAGTGCACTGACACTCTAGAGCTGCTTTCAAGTCTCTATGACAAGTAATAGATGTGTTCTGAAATTTATGCTGCCCTTGTGTGTTTTGACAGTGCTGTGAGGAAAGCCAAACTCTCCAAATTCATCAGCTCAGATACTGCTCCAGAGCAAAATCCAGAGCAATACTAAAGCATTGGCTAACTTGCTTTTCTTTCTCTCTATCTTTCCACATACATGAGTTTTGGGAGGTAAAAAGTAGAGAAAGGGAGCATTGGCTGATTTACATTTTTGCAATCTCCCATTGGCTAGCTTGAAGGAACGCTGGCCAACTCAAGCAAGTACTCAACACTCACTTGGCAGCTGCCATGTGTTTGAATGGTGAAGCCAAAAACATAAGATTAATTTGCTAAGAAAGAGACTACCTAGGAGACCGGAATGTAGGAACAGCCCAGCAAATAATACGATTTTGCCCTAGCAGGCTCTAGGTGTTAAGACAACAGAGAGAGATTTATCTGTCCCACTTGCCAAGGAGACACTGTGCTGCAACAGGTAAACTAAATCCATAAAACTTAACAATTCAGCTGGTAGGTAGGAGTAGATATTTCATCCCAGACTAAGCAAATATGTTGAAATTATAATCAACTATATAAGCAACCAGTAATAATTTTGAACTGAAATAGTCATCTGATTAACAGGTAGATAATCTAGTAATTGATTTAACATTTGAAATCAAATGTGTAGTTTTTAAAACAATTGTTATGTGATTATACTAGACCTTGCTTTGGAAGAGGAATTCTCCTCCCAAATGAGAATACTCTTTAAGACAGTGAATTAACAATATTAATTTTTTAAAATCTGGTAATCATATAAAGCAGGCGATTCTTCCGTTATATAAAATCAACCTACAATATATCATAAAAGTATAATTAGATGCCATCTAGAAACAATTGTACCTCTTGTTGAGAAGCTTAGCTGCTGTAGTATTGATGATTTTATGCAATAACCCTTTTGTGGCTTCTGATAGATGTTTTCCAGGCAGGCATGCCAGTCTTCCACACTATAAACTGAGCAATCTTGCAGACTAGTGACAAGGTCACCAACAAAAAGACCTCTAGGACCATTAGCAGGAGAATCCTAAAAAAGAAAAAATGTTAATAAATCCTGGACTGAAGACCACCTAGTTTTGTTTTATTGGCTACATTTTCCTATACAGTAGTTTAACCATGATCTGAAGAGAAATGAGTGAAGCAAACTTCCCTTTTAACCAACCAGTGGAGTATGAAAATAAAAGTATTTTCTCTTATTATTCTGGCTATCCAAATTGATAAACAGTGATTAGCGATAAGTAAAATAAGATGAATAGCTACTTCAATATTAGTAACATACTCCTGATGCAAATGTGATTTTTCTTAGTATCATATCTTTCCCATTTTAATAGAACGTTTTTACACTTAACCCTGATTAATTGATTGTATTCATATGTACACCTGATTATATTTCATTGTATCACATAGATTTAGGTTTATTTCATATACTTCACTACTAATACCACCCATATCTTAGCAAAGAAAAGTAGTTGTAATAAACTGAATGATTGTGAAACAGAGCTTTAATTTCTTTATTATACACCAGAACAACTAGACACAAGGAAAGTTTTTTCCTGAATGCCATCACTCAGCTAAACAAATAATTCCCTCAATACTGTCCAACTACAGTATTTACAAAGTCTGCATTACTATTACTATTAATCTTTTTCATCACTCCTTATCACCCATCCCCTCCCACTTGAGACTGAATGACTGTAACTTTGTTGCTTGTATCCTTACGATTTATATTGACTGTTTCCTAATATGATTTGATTGCATATTGTACCCTATGACTATTATTAAGTGTGGTACCTGATAATTCTTGACTCTTGGTGAATGTATTTTTTTATGTATGCTGAAACCATTTTGCACCAAGACAAATTCCTTGTGTGTCCAATCACACTTGGCCAGTAAAGAATTCTATTGTGTCTATTCTATTTTATATCCTATCTTTCCACTTCAAACAGTATTCAATGTAGAAAAAAACATTTTAATTAAATTAGAAAATTGAATGGACACTACACACACACACACACACACACACACACACACACACACACACGAACTGGAATGCCTTCGCAATTTCAGGCAAAGATTACTTCAAATTAAATAATGTGGAAAACCAGCTCATTAATACCATAACATAAAGTCAGAACTTCACTGAGCACCAGGAGTTCTATGTCCATAATTTCCAAACAACGAACCTCCCAGTATATGCAACCAGCACTTTTAGAAAAGAGAACAAGGACCATTATGTTTGATTATAAAGATGACAAACTATTCTTCCAAAGAGGTGAAATTATAATGCTGTTACCTGAGTGACTTCAGTAACAAGTGCTCCTGCACCAGTGTAATAAAATGGGTAAAGAATAGCAGGTAGGAAGAAGAGAAATACAAGACCCACAATACCAAGCACAAAGTTATGCCAGACACCTGTAAAACCAGAAAAACAAAGCATTTAATGTCTTACCATGTAAGAATATGCTAAACAGAATTTTAATATGTAGAACTATTTTTTTATTTTACTACAATAGCAACTTAATCTAAACCGCATAAATTCTGCTTCAGGAATAAAGCTAATATTAAAATTTTGAAAATGAAGTGTTTAAATGTAACTGGAACTGTACAGGCAAATGCTCCTAGATAATGGTTAACAGAAATCTTGATTTAAAAAATGTATATGATAGTCATAAAAAACTTGACTGGGAACCACTCTGATCTTCATTACAAAGGACAAGCACTGCTATGGCAATAAAAATGAACTTGTATGAGTCTGCCTCTTCTCTCAGTTCAAGAAAGTAATGACTCTTGAAACTTCAGCATTTCAAAAGGAACCTTTTGTTGAAAGGGAGTGATTGCAGGACAAAGGAAAGCTGGATCTAAAGTCCCCCTCAGGCAATACAGTTAGGATAAAGTAATTAAAAACCCCACTACTCAGTCTGAGGTTGAATGAGCCAATCCACAAGTGTGAAGATGTTGTTAGAACAGCTGGCCTGAGAAAGAGATAAGAAGCGATTCCCAGGTTCATCTTGAGGAGGCTTCAGGACTGAGACAAAACACATGGCCCTCCCCCTTTATTACATTCCCCCAAAGGTAAATCAAGCCTAGGGCATGTAGGTGCCAGGATAAAGGCTATAAACTAGGGGGATACAGGATGTATGGGAAATAGGAAAAGGGCAGTAAGCTGACAAATGTATCCAGCCTCCCTCCCCACAGGAATGGCAGTATCACGATAGGATCTGACAGAACTATCTGAGAAGTTTTCTGAATGAATATGAAATAGAACAATCAGCATAGCAGATAGATTAAAGGGAATTCAGTGCATACTTTTTTAACGTTAATATTGAGGAATAACAATAAAGTTATACTTTGTCATTTTGGATATTATAAATATACCCTCAACTAAAATCCATTCATTAGAATGTGATCCTGGAATTAAATGCCACTGGCAGTTGTGCACTATTATAGCCAAGAATGTGAACTGGAAAATTCAGTTCACAGCTGGAACTACTCCTGTTATATTAGAACACAAATGGAATTTTAAAATAAATAAAGCTAGTCAAAGATTGCTCTTAAATGAAATAAGTATTGTTATGTACAAAATGGTCTCAGCATTCAAAACTTGCTAAATTTAAAGGGAAACACAAAAGGAAAATTATACATGGTTGTCATTTTGGTAAAAAAAAAAAATCCTGCCATGCAAGTATGATTCCCACAATCCGTGTACACATCTAATGTGCACAATTTAGAATTGGTTGACTGTTGCCTTCTTACAGGAAAAGTTTCTGACTTCCTAGTTTAACTTACAACCCTGGGATAACCTCCTAGTCTCCCACCCAAATACCAATCAGGACTGACCGCCTCCCTGAACCCTTGCCAAGGTATAGGGTTTTTTAAAAGTTATCTCTTTTTCAATCTTTTTTGCTGTGAGTTATGTATTTTTACTATTCTGTACATTGTTCATGATTCCCACTTCTTGGAATTTCCCCAAATCTCTCAGTTGTTACAAAAAAAATAGAAACAAGCCAGTTTGTTTATAATTATGCAACTAATAATATATTTACTTTTTATTACTGGCTTTATAATGAAAATCTTACTCAGGGAGCACTTGAATCACATCTGTCTTAAAATGGTGCAAAATTTCTACCAGAATCCTAATCCTCTTCATTCAGAAGTATTTATAATGACTAAATTAAATGACTGACTGAAGTGTTTTATTTTCCATTTGAAGTCATCCCAACATTATTAAAAGTCAACTTCAATTAGAAGATTAAGATTGTGATCTACAATGGTTCCTTTTTTTATCTTCTACTGCCAAGTCATGAACAAATGCCGAGAAACAATGACTTAAACACTGTTCATACATATAACAAATTGCCAGTAATAAATGAAAATTGTACAATTCCAAAACTGACTGCTAGTATTTAGTATTATATACAAATATTATTAAAATCATTAGAAGCAAAGGAAAGAAGACATAGCCCAATCCAAGACATATGTATCCAAGAAACTCAAAGATCTCTTTCCTAATATCCTCAACAGAAAATTGTAAGAAAATTAGGGCCACCTAGGCTCCTTCCATTTTCTCATTTTGAAACAGTACATGGAGATTCATATTACAGCAGCAAAATATGTTCTTTATAAATCCTGCAATCTTTAATAGGAATCAATCACAGGTTGAACATGAAGAGCACAAAACAGCTGTCATGGTAATCAAATACATGATATATATTTGGGGCTTAATCAGAAATAAATTAAAATTCTATTTTAATTTCATGAGAAATTGACATCTTGGAACAAGTAAGAAATATATCATTAAAAGAAGAAATTACCAAGAGAAACTAATTTATCCAAAATATCTTAATAGTAATAATATACACAGCTCAAGTATTTGTTATGTTTCTGTTTGGCCTCAGCAGCCTCAATACTGAAGGAATACTTCAGTAGCTTTGAACATATTGGAGAATGTTTGTACAGAGGCTAGACACGCGGTGGCGAACCTATGGCACGCGTGCCACAGGTGGCATGCAGAGTGCTCTCTATGGGCACACGCACCATTGCTCTGCCGTGTATGCACGTTCCTCCTGCCAGCCAACTGGTCTTCATGTCTCTGTCGTGCATATGGGGGGGGCGCATGCACAGAGGGATGCATGAGGGGAGCGGAGCGCACTAGTAGGCAGGGCTCATGAGGGAGTGGAGTGCATGTGTGAGGGGTGCGCACACAACCACAGGGGCGTACGTGTGAATGTGGGGGGGGTGCATGCACGGGGTGTGTTGCATTTTGGGAATGCACACAATGAGCACTTGGTGCCGAAAAGGTTCGCCATCACTGGGCTAGACTATTCAATGTTATCAACAAATTTTAAAAGTTACAAAAATAAACTTGAATATATAAAGAATGGAAAATGAAGAATTGGAATATTCCACATTGAAAAATCATCTCTCTTAAGTTCTAAGAAACGTTAAGTATGTTCAATATGATGCAAAAACCTGATTAGCCCGATAGAATTTGCAGGATATCCTCAGTGTGTCCAGCAATACCCATGCTTTCAGATACAATATAAAATATACTGCAATAGTAATCCCAATCAACTTACCTGCACAAAATATTCTTAGCTGCTGAATGGGAGATATTAGTTGTAAATGAGTAGTGAATAGGTCAACAAATGCTCCAGGATAGACAATAAATATAAAAATTCCAAAGCCATTAAACCGAACTTGCTCTCTAAAAAGCAAAGAAAATATTTTTTAAAGATTGAATCAAATATTTGTAAGCAAAGAAATCAACATGCTTCACTTCATGGAATTTTATTTTCTATGTCTACTACATAGCTATACAGATGATTTCCTATTAACCCAAGAAGAATGTATTTGAGAATAAACAAAATAATAATAACACGCATATTTTGAATAGCAATTAATGTAATTTCATTCTAAGTATTCAGTATGCTTTACTTCAATTATCTGACTATAATCTTTAACACAATTTGCAGGCAGAACTATTACCCTCCAAAAGGAGTATAGTATATAACTAACTATGGTTTGTTTAAGGATCAAAGCTGTTAGGAAAGGTCTTTCTGATCTGTTATTCAGTGTCTGACCAGCACAATATAACAGATCTGTTCAATTAAAGAAAAAGAAGCAGTCTAAAGCAGAGGTGTCAAACTCAAGGCCCGGGAGGGAGATCCAGCCCGTGGGGTGTTTAGATCTGGTCCCCAGGGCTGCCCTAGAAACAGCGAAGGACTGGCCCGCGGTGTCTCTGCCAGTGAAAACAGAGCTCAGGAGGGCCGTTTTTGCTGGCAGAGTTTTGCAGGAAGCTATTGCAGCCAAAAATGGAGGTCACAAGGGCTGTGTGCAGCTCTCCCAAGCTCCATTTTCACTGGCAGAGGGTTGCCATTGCAATGAATAGACTATAGAAATCAGTATCAGATGAGCCCTGTGATGGTGCAGTGGTTATAATCCTGCAGGCTACCTCTGCTGACGGATTGCTGCCAGCAGTTTGGCAGTTCAATTCTCACCAGCTCAAGGTTGACTCAGCCTTCCACCCTTCCAAGGTCAGGACTCAGATTGTTGGGGGCAATATGCTGACTCTGTAAACCACTTAGAGGGGGCTATAAAGCACTGCAAAGCGGTATATAAGTCTAAGTGCTATTGCTATTTAATTTGTTTTCAATAAATCTTTGACTCATAACCAAGAAAAATAAATAAAAAGAAAAAGCACAAAGTCATCATCCTGGCCCCCAAACTTCTCAAGCAGTAAAAGGAAATAGTGTAGAGCCGTGATGGCAAACCTATGGCACGTGTTCCACAGATGGCACGCAGAGCCATTTGTACCGGCACGCAAGCTGCAAGCAAACTTATCTCACTGCACATGTGTGCGCCGCACAGCTGATTTTTGGCCGGTTTGAGGCCTTTCTCAGCCTCCCAAAGGCTTGAGGAAGGCTTCTGAAAGCTTCTACAAGCTTTGTAGGCCGAAATCTAGCCCCATTTCGTCACTTCCAGGTTGTTGTTTTTTTTGAAAAACAGGAAGTGATGAAACGGGGATAGATTTCAGCCTACAAAGCTTGTAGAAATCGGCAGAAGCCTTTCTCAAGCCTTTGTGAGGCCGAAAAAGGCCTCAAGCCAGCTGAAAATCAGCTGTGAGGCGCAGTGCAGGTAAGGGGGCGGTGTGGGTTGGTGGGGGATTGTGTGCGCATGCGTAGGGGACATGGGGGGGCATGCATTTCCTTCTGGGTGCTGGCATGCGAGTGCGAGCATGCAAATACACACACAAGTTTTGGCACAGGAGCCCAAAAAGGTTAGCCACCACTGGTGTAGAACATATTATGATGCTAAAAGTGTAACTCTAAGATCAGAGTAATTCTCAAGAGCATAATATATTAACATTGTCTATAATCCATAAGATCAACACATAAGTAACATCAATAAAAAGTATTTCCTAAAACCTACAAGGCTAGTACTTTAATAATATAGCTTTAACCTATATTAAGCATGATGAAACTGAAGAAAAGAAAGTAAATAAAAGTATGTCTTCAACTTTTGTGATATTTCCATTGAGGTAACACAAAGCCAAGCTACTGGTTGCATGATGGAGGGTTGCAAATCTTCTAAGAGGAACTTCACAAGGTGCTTATACAATTTTCCAATATGTTTATGTAATGGGGTAAAATATAATTGTTCTAACTGTTCCTGAGAAATTTACAGTGTATTAATATATGACTGATTTTTTCTATCTTCTATCAAGAAGTCTTCTATCTAGAAAAAGACAGATGGAAACATGTCACTCATAGAAAAAATCACAAACCTAGTACAAAACCACTCTCCAACCCAACTCACTCTGATGCAGCCCCACTGGTGCTGAGCAATCAATTTCATAGACTCTCCCTGGAAGAAAACATGCAGACACTTAGAAAAGAAGCATCATCAAATGTCCCTAAAAAGATAGCATCATTAAGTGCTGCTATGACAGGTAGAAAAGTCCCCCAAATCTTCCTAAGAAAAAAATGGTAAGTGTTGGTGATAGAAGATTCAATTCTCAAAGGAATAGAACCAGCCATAGACCAGACAGTCAATCCAGAGAAGTATGTTGTCTACCTTGAGCAAAAATCAAAGACATGGCTGAGAACCTAACCAAAATAATAAAACCCACAGATTACTACCCTTTTCTACTACTACACATAGCAATGAATGCTATGAAAATGGACCTATTAATTACTCAATATTGAGTGATAATGAGCAGCTAAGCAAGAATGTTAAGGACTTAGGTGCACAAGTCATTTTTTCATCTGTACTGCTAATGAAAAGACAACATCCAGTAAGAGAACAAAGGATTCTAGAAGTGAATAACTGGCTAAAGGGTTGGTGTCACCAAAAAACCTTTGGATTCCTGGACCATGGTCTGGCACTACCTCCATGATGGACTTCTGGCAAGGGATGGGCTCCACCTCACAAAAACTGGGAAGAATGTTTTTGGAAAATGACTGGCACAACTTATCAGGTGGGCTTTAAACTAAAATTGAGGGAGGAGAGTGACCAATCTTTAGAATCTTCAGGACCTAACTCCATACAAAAACCTAGAAAGCAAGTCAAATAAAGAGGTAAGGAGAGATGGGAAGGAAGACAAACTCAAACACCAAATAAGAGACATAAAAAGCATACTCAAGAGTCAGATATAAAGATCTCAAGTGCCTATATACAAATGCACAAAGTTTGGGAAACAAACAGCGTGAACTTGAACTATTAATACATGAAGGTAGATATGATACAGTTGGAATTACAGAAACTTGGTGGGATGAAACCCATGACTGGAACATACTGATAGAAGTATGTAAACTGTTAAAAAAAAAACCAGTCATCATAAAAGAGGAGGTAGAGTTGTACTATATGTAAAAGATGACTATATAACTACAGAAATGAACAAAATCAAAGACAAAAACCACCTAGAATGCAAATGGGTCAATATAAAAGAAAAAAAGAATGACATTGTTATAGATGTATACTACAAGCAGTGGTGGGCTGCTGCCGGCTTGAACTGGTTCTAGCAAACTGGTAGTTCCAACGATCAGCTGGCCCCACCCACCCCCACCCTATTCTGTCCTATATTTCCGTCTTTTTCAGCGCAGCTGATTTGCGCAGCACAGTGGATTTCATGCATCTCAGCTGCTCTATTTACCAGGGCTACCCTGTACAGGTTCAAATTGGTGTTTTTTTTAATACTGCATGCGTGCGCAAAGCATGCATGCACAGAATCAGTTGTTAACCCGGTTGCAACCCACCACTGACTACAGGCCACCCAACCAAACAGAAAAAATAAATGTACTCGCATCCGCTCGCAGCCAGTTGCTGCATGGCTCATTGCGCCAGTGTCTCCACTCATGACAGAAGTTTGCATGGTGCATTCTGCCATTGCGCATGCGAGCAGCAGCACCGGCACAACGAGCCTTGCATTGTCTTGCTGCAAGCAGCAGCACTGGCTCCGGTGTTGTCAGATAGGCGGCCAGGGCTCAAGGCCTCAGGGTAGGTTTATGAGAATTGGTTTAATGTCACTAACATTAACTAACATCAATACCCAGGAAGATACTGGAAAAGATAATCAAAAAACAGATCTGCAAACATCTAGAAACTAGTAAACTAATAACTAGAACTCAGCACAGGTTTGTTAAAAACGGATCATGCCCAACCAATCTTATTTCATTCTTCAAGATAGTGACTAAATTAGTAGACCAGCAAAATGCTCCGGACATAGTATACTTAGACTTCAGCAATGCATTCAACAAAGTAGACCACAATCTACTTCTTGGTAAGCTAGGAAAAAAATGGGATAAATAGCATCACCATCAGATGGATTTGTAACTGGCTGTCAAACCATACTCAACTAGTAGTCCTTAACAGTACTTTGTCTACATGGGGGGGGAAGTAAACAGTGTGGTACCACAAGGTTCAGTCTTAGGCCTAGTACTCTTCAATATCTTGATCAATGACTTAGATAAGGGAATAGAAGGGGAACTTATCAAATTTTCAGATGATACTAAGCTGGCAGGAATAGGCAACACTATGATAGGCTCAAGATCCAGATTGATCATGAAGACGAATACTGGGCCCTAACTAACAAAATAAAATTCAATATAGAGAAAAGTAAAGTCTTACATTTAGTTAAGAAAAACTAAAAGTACATATACAGATTGGGAGAAACCAGCCTTTATAGAAGCAATTGTGAGAGGGACCTTGAAGTCTTAGTGGACAACCAGCTAAATATGAGTCAACAGTGTGCAGCAGCAGCAGCCAAAAAAGCTAATGCAACCGTAAGTTGTATTAACAGAGGGATACAATCAAGATCAAGGGAAGTACTAATGCCACTCTATAAAGCCTTAATAAGATCACACCTAGAGTACTGCATCCAGTTTTGGTTACCACACTATAAAAAAGATGTTGAGACTCTAGAAATAGTACAGAGAAGAGCAACCAAGGATGATTAGGGAACTGGAGACTAAAACATGAAGAAGGGTTACATGAACTGGGCACGGCTAGTCTAGTGAAGGGAAGGACCAGGTGAGACATGAGAGCAGTCTTCCAATATTTGAGGGGCTGCCACAGAGAGGAGGGGGTCAAGCTATTTCCTAAAGTGCCTATAGGCCAGACAAGGAATAATGGATGGAAACTGAACAAGGAGAGATTTAACCTGGAAATAAGGAGAAACTTTCTGATAATGAGAACAATCAACCAATG